CAATTAGATCTACAAAGCATTGTTATTTTGAGCCATATAATAGGTTGATGCAAATCTAATTGCAGTTTCTGCATTTGTTTTTTTATTTTTAATTCTAGTATTCACCAGGTGACTCCCAGATAAACACATACCACATATTAATAACTACCTTCAAACATACTTAATTATAATTCCTATTGCTATGTCCTACACGTACTTTTTTCAGTGTTATACTTTTCTTAAATATTTACCCATCTTTACATTTAAGAAGAAATGGCTTCTGTTGTTTGTTCTAAGTGCTCCTTTGGGAAAAACACCACCCATTTCTAAGATTTAACTCCCTAGACAATTTAAGTTCCTCCAGCAAAGAATTTAAGTTATTTGAGACCAAGGACGGTATCTTATTCATCATGTATTTCCTGCACTGGTACAGTGCGTATTCAATAAAATACGTGTTGAATAAATAACCTCTTTTGACCTTTATAGCTAAACATACGTAGTTCTCATAGTTGTAATCATCACATGTAACCTAAAGTGAACCTTACTTTTTATGATTAGCATCTTTAATATCCACTTCTACAAATCTACATAGCCCACACATTTGTCACTTTGATAGCAAAATCATATTTCATTGTATTGCTATACCACAGACTGCTTAATCACTTCTCCAAACTTCTCTCAAGCAGCTGGGATGGGAGGTTAGGCCCAAGGTATATTCACAACAGGATTCTAAACCTTTCAATACCACTGATCAGAAAAGGCTTTCCTGGGCTCTACTCATGTGAAGATTCTACATTACTAGAGGGAAGGGGTTAAAATCATCCTAAAATTACTTAAATCATGAAAAGTCTCATTAAAAGAACAATTCATCAAAGAGAATGAGACATTTCCCATGTATGGGAATGAGTTATGACATATAACATGTCTGGGGATGATATCATTTTCTTTTCTTCCAATAAGGTTTAGTAACCTATTATTTATGTTACCATAAACATCAACAAATACAAACACAACTGCATACTTAAGAACTGACCAAGTTAAGTTAATTTCTAAGGTTCCCTAGCTCACTCTTAAAAGATGTGATTTAAGGCCAGGCATGGTGGTTCACACCTGTAATCCCAGCACTCTAAGAGGCTGACACAGGAGGAATGCTTGAGCCCAGGAGTTCGAGACCAGCCTGGGCAACAGAGTGACACTGCCTCTCCACACACAGAAAAAATTTTTTAATAAGCCAGCATGGTGACACACCCCTGCAGTCCCAGGATTGCCCAGCCCAGGAATTGCCTAGTCACTGCACTCCAGCCTGAACAACAAAGCAAGACCATGTCTTGAAGAAAAAAAAAGATGTGACTCAAGCAGGGTCCCACATATGATCACTTTGGGAGAATAATCTGATTAAAACAACAACATGAAATAGAAAACAAACTATAATCATCTCTCAATAACCGAACAACATTGTGCCATTCAACTTTAGCTGGGTCCACATTAGACCCACTCAAAGACTGTGAGGGAGGCCAGGCGCAGTGGCTCATGCCTGTAATCCCAACACTTTGGGAGGCTGAGGTGGGTGGATCATGAGGTCAGGAGACCAAGACCAGCCTTGCTAACACGGTGAAACCCTGTCTTTACTAAAAATACAAAAAATTAGCCGGGCATGGTGGCACGTGCCTGTCATCCCAGCTACTCGGGAGGCTGAGGCAGGAGAATCGCTTGAATCTGGGAGGCGGGGGTTGCAGTGAGCCAAGATGGTGCCACTGCTCCAGCCTGGGCAACAGAGCGAGATTCCATCTCAAAAAAAAAACAAAAAAAGGACTGTGAGGGATCTGAGATACCAAAAGGATTGCATTTGTTTATGAGGCAGTCCCATAGTGCTGACTCAAAAGGATGGCATGACTCCAAGCCTCCAGTATATATTAGGTATCAAAGAGAAATATGAGGCTATGTCATATGTTTGAGCTTGTGGATATTCCCAAAAAAAAAGCTTCCAGTTACTTAGAGCTTCCATCTTTTGGGGGATTCCATAATAAATTATATAATAAACCAGGATTTTTTAACAAAGAGCAAATAAAAATTTACTAAGTTAAAGCTTCAAGTGCTTTTTGCAACACTTGGAAACCACTAACTAGGTTTGTACATATTTTAATTATAATGTTTTCTTTTTTACTTAAAAGTTTGAAGCCGGGCGCAGTGGCTCACGCCTGCAATCTTAGCACTTCGGGAAGCCGAGGCAAGCGGATGGCCTGAGCTCAGGAGTTCGAGACCAGCCTGAGCAACACAGTGAACCCCCATCTCTACTAAAATATTAAAAAATTAGCCAGGCATGGTGGCATGCACCTGTAGTCCCAGCTACTCAGGAGACTGAGGCAGAATTGCTTGAACCCAGGAGGTGGAGGTTGCAGTGGGCTGAGATCACACCACTGCACTCCAGCCCAGGTGACAGAGTAAGACACCACTGCAAAAA